ATATAAAACATTTAAGTTTACGGTGCTGGAGAGATAGATGGCCCAGTGGTTAAGAGTCATTGACTGCTCTTCCAGAGGACCTGGGTTTAATAGCCAGCACCTACAACATAGCAACTCAGAACTGTCTAAAGCTCCAATTCCAGGGGTTCTGACACCTTTATAGACATACATACAAAATAAATCTTTAAAAAAAAAAGTTTTGTTCAGGATATACAATCAAGAAGTCCACCCAGAGAGTAAGTTGATTCTGGAGTCTGGTCTTCACAAGCTTTACCTATTGAGCCATTTCCAGCCCTCCTTCCTTTAAAACATTTGTGCACATATGGATGACTGACTGGTATATGACTGTGTACCATGTACGCACAGGGCCCAACAGCCAAAAAGGGGACTGAACCTTTGGGAACTGGAGATAAGACGGTTTTGAGTAGTTGCTGAGCTATCTCTGTAGTTGCCCACCAGAGAACAGGATCAGATACAATGAGTGTCGAGCCTTGTCTTAAACACTCCTTACAAAGTAGTCTATAAACCTTAGATTAGAAGCTGTAAACCAGGGCTTCCTCAAAGCTGAGGCCTTAGCTAGAACTATACTATTAGTAGAACTATCTGAACTGTGTTAAGACCTTTTTGCTAGCACCAGGCTGAGATCCTACTTTTAAATTCTTCAAAAAGCTAATTTTATGCACACCATGGATCTAGAGTTCTTTCATGTCTATTTCCAGAGCTCTATTCTACTGGGTAATATCAAACTACAAAGTATGCTTTTTTCACTTTTAGTTTTAAACCCAAATGCCTTTATTCTGTTAACCATGTGAGTAAGCAGCTTTGCCATCAAAATTGTTACCTATCTATAACCCCTTTACACAGCACTATGGTTTTAAGCATGACTTCATCCCGTATCTTCATCTCATTTGCTAACTGCCTATTTAACCACATCTTGCAGGCTAACATACTCTTTGATGCATTGAAGTTAGGAAGAGGTCCATTTAAAATACTACCAAAAACAACCAAGCCAAGTCAATAGAAAAAAAAATCTTAACAAAGCGCTTACCTGGAACAAAGCCTTGCCTTTTCCTGGAAACTCTTGAGTTATGTCTTCCTTCCAAGCCAAGAAAGCTTCCTCCTCAATAATTTCCATGTCATAGAAATGAACAAAAAATCGAAGTAACATGCCTTAAAACAAAACAAAACCAACCAAAAGCATGGAATCAATTCCATTATTCCAGTGTGCTATTTCAGACTGCCCCTCATTCTCTACGGACACCAGTCACCTCACCTTTGGGGAAGCTGCTGTTATAACAGTGCACCTGCAGAGCATACAGGGCACTGACCTGTAGATCCACATGGTCATGAAGGAATTTCTGCATCACTGGCTTGAAAGAGAGCAGCAGCTGTTTCTCCTGCTCTAACTGTTCTTTGGAAGGAGCAGAGGAAGAATCTGTTTCATCACTAGGTGGGCTTACTTCACTAGAAATGTACTGTAAGAAGCTGAATAGCAGAGATCATGTTAGAAATTGTCTAGTTCAACACCAGCTTTTGGGGCTCTGCTCTGTAGACTTTCTAACAAGTGAAAACCATTCATCTTACCTGGTCATTAAGATGTTCACAAATCCTTTATCTACATGAAGTTTGGGAGAGATGTTATCTTTAATCCATTTATATATAGTTTGAGGGGATGGATCCAGCTTAATTTGCTTCAGTAGTTCCTTCTCCAATTTAAGGAGCGGGAATAAGAAACTCAATCCCTTTCCTTCCAGAATCTCCAACATTCGATCTTTATTCTGATCAATTTCTGCAAAGACATTTCTCATTTTACCAGGGTTACCTATCTAGACCATTTTACAAACACTTTCCCAGCACACAAAATCACTTATTGTTAATTAACTCAGTCAGCTCTTACCTGGCAGCATTTTCTGCATATTGACCTTGCTTTGTTGAAAAAGTTCAGTTAGCCATTCTCGATCTTGTAATTTAGCTAATTGTTGAAGACAAAGTAAGAAGAGAGGGAAGTGGGTGCCACTCTCCAGTGGTTGAGCTAGTTCTGAAATGCTCACCAACTCTGAAATTATAGCACGAGCTGCAAACTGTGCCAAATAAGATTTCACCAAGGGGATGTCAACCTCTAGTTTGGGGCACTGCTCCAATACGTTCAGGAAAGCCTTGGGAAGAATATTCAAAACAGTTATTAGCTTCCAACCACAACTGGAAAGAGCTATCACACAATCAGTACAATGTTCTACCTGCATGAAGTTGTCACTTGTGGCTATTCCTTCCTGTTTGAGTAAACTGATCAAAGAGCTCGCTTTTTCTTTATCTTCATCACTTCTATCTAGTGACAGGATGATCACTTTGCTTAACATCTCAGGAAGAAAGTGTTTCGGGGCTCTCATTTCTCTCATGCCATTGACGGCCTCATTTGCATTTCCACTATTCAGATATTCAGTCACAACGGCTTCCTGAGAAGAACACAATCCAATTACCATCAGTGTTCCCTATCCTCAAATGTTTAAGCAAAAGAGACGACTTGGGGGGCTATCTAAAACTTACAGTCTGTTTAAGTAGTTCTTCCTTTGATGGTGGTGGCTTTTTGCTAGTCTTGGCAGGCTTTTCCTGGATAAGTGGTGGATTAGTTTTGAGACCAAGTTGTGGTGTCTAAAGGCAAGCAGCACAACACAGATTTAAATCAAAATAAATGTAAGAAACCAAAAAGAACAGTACCACCTGAAACAGAGGGAAGAAAACAGAATTCTCACTCATCTTCAGAGGGCAGATACTTTGGGGCCCGTACCTGTCCCAGAGGTGGTGTTTGAGTGCGTGGTGGCTGTGCACTGGGAGGAATCATAGTTATCTGGGGCTGAAGCTTTGGCACCTGGTTTTTATTCATTAGGAACGACTGAGCAGGCCTCAAACTAATCT